CAGTTGGCGGGAGGGAGGGGGAGCGGCTGAGGGGTCGCCCGGAGCGAGCTGAGGGCGGGCGCGGTGCCCGGGGTGAGGGCAGCTGGGCGGGGGTAGCCGGGAGGCCCGAGGGCGAGTCCCCTCGCATCCTGCTGTCCCGCTCCGAGGAGGCTGGGGAGAGCGGGGGGGTGAGCGAGGAGGTGGGATAAATAAACGTTTTGTGGCAGAGTCGGGCAGTAGTAGGCTTGTAGAGCGGGTGTTGCTTCACAAATGAAATCCTTAATTTAGTACTTGCATTTTTGAGGAAGGAAAGGATGCTGCTGAGCTCTGTGCCGACGTCTCTTTTCAAACAACGAATTGTATTAAAGAGTCGCTGCATCAGGGACCGAGTTCTGTGCGTTTCCCTCTGGCGAGGAGTGGGTGGTTTGTATCGGTGCTATTTATCTGAATCTTCATGGTAGGCAGCATGCTAGGATAGTGGTTTTCCAGAGCTTTGATTTGCACCTGATGTTTATAGGTAGCATCTGGCTTCAGAGACCCTCTAGTGTTGCTCTTCTGGAGGCAGAAGGTAAAAATTTGAGACTGACCAAATCAGCTTTATTATCTCCTGGAAAGCTGTATTTGTTTAACCTTGTTACCTATGGGATAACAAAAATTAGACATCTGTGCTTTAGAATCTAATAAAAGCATGGCTTTTGTTTCAGGAGGTATGGAATAATTATTAAAGAAGAAAAAGAAGTAGGAAGGAATATTTAAAGAACTACCTTTGAGAGGAGTTGAAGAAGAAACTCGGTACCCCAGAAAAATGGCAGTTACTCCAAACATAGGGAATGGCAGAAATTAATGAGGAACAGATGGAGTCTGTAGGTGAGACTGGCATTATGTAGGAATTAAGAAGGTATAATTAATAATTGTTCTAAATGGAGATAGAAAGGAAGGGCAGGGGTGAGTATTTTATAGAAGGGAAAGGCCAGGCTTGTGACACTTGATTTTGGAAGGTTTGTAGGACTCTGGCCTTATTGGAGGTGAGTTTAGGAAGCACAAGAGTTCACTTAGGGTTAAACGATCTACAGAGCCGACCTCAGTGTCTTTTATTTAGCTAAATGTGCCTATCCTGTGGTTTAGGCACAGGTGTGGCATTGAAAGCGTGCAAATATCAGTGTTCACGTTTCTACCTATAGATGGTGATCTACTGCTGTCACAGATTTATATTGTTAAAAGCAACTTTTTCTTTTCCCTTGGTTGTGTGGTGGTGTTGGGTCATACCTTTCTGTAAATAGTAAATAAATATGGATTTAGTTTGAGCTGAATAACCTAAAAGTACCTTAGATTGTCTATTACTAAACCAGCAGCTCTGTGGGATATTTTTTGTTGCCTTTTTCTGTGGCAGTGGCAAGTATATTGAACTCACTTAAATTGGTTGGTGCCTCTTCTGCAAGGAAAATCTCTGGCAGTTGTACCCAGGATCATCCACTCTTGTGTAATGTATCAGTTGCTGACTGTGGAGGGAATGGTGCTCCTGCTGCTGATTTGGCAGAAAAACAGTCTTTGGATTTACTGCTGTCTCTCACTGTCAAGATTGGAGTAGTTTCTTCTTAATTTTTTTTCTAACTCAGGCTGAAATATTTTTGATCCTCTGCGTCAAAGTTCGCATATTCCATAGTGGGTTTTTGCATAGGGCAACATCGTTATTTTCCTGCTTCTCGATTTCTGAGTGTTTGGCCTTTGATTTGACAGATCTAACAATGTTTTTCTTACCATTACTGGATCCTTAGTGTGGGCAAGCAAGCTTGGTGGGAGGTCAGTGCTCCTGCCTTTTTGGGTAGAGGAATGGGGCAGACCTCCTGAGCCTGGCAGGTTCCATCGGGTGTATCCTCTGGGGAGAGGTAGCTGATGGATAGCGTGCCTGTGCTTGGGAAGGGAGAGGTAGAATTTCAAGCCCCTTTTTGAATGTCGGGGAGACTGAAGTAAAATTCAGATCACAGATCAGGGATTTTTCATCATTAATGCCAGATGTTTGCATTCCTAGGTCGGCGGTATGCATTTAATTTTTTTGATTACGTACCGGCTCGTGACTGTATTCCTGTGGAATTAGTTAGAACACATGATAATTTTTGATGGGCTCTGTGCTTTTAGAATGGCTGCAGGAGAACAGGCAATACCCGAGCCAGCATAAGACCTGTCAGTACATAGTTAACTTTTAAGTCGGTTTTGAGTATGTTTAAATCAACAGAGAAACCTATACCAGATCTGCATTTTACATAACTTGGCTGTGGTGTAGTTAATTGAGAAAATAAGTGGCATTAACTTAATACCAGGACACTCACTTTACAAAATCATATGCTTGTTAGCTTTTTTTTTTTTGCTACTAAGTTATTAATCTAGGAATTTTTATAGACTTCCTTGAAGAGGTTTTTCTGGTTCAGTGGCAAATACTAGTTTGTGAGCTACTTAACATACATGCTTGGCATGAGTATTTTGACTAGCACTATAATCTTTACTGGTCTCTTGTAGAATTTTCTCGTGTGGCTTACAGGTAAAACACGCTACATCTTTGTATAACAAATGGTGTGGAGCTTATTAAGGTGATGCTTAAGTATGTACATGTAGTGTGGATCTGGCGAATCCTTTTAAGTGGTTTGAAGCCTTTTACCCTTCTTGCTGTTATTTTTATCTATTTTGTCAGATGCCTTTTCAGCTCAGAAGTGGGAGAAGTGGCTTCTGGGCAGCTTTTGACTAAGTGGTTAGAAATTCTCCAGTACTGAAACCCCGTCCTGATTGCAGCTTCCAGACACAAACTAGTAACAGAATGCTGTTGGGTAGGGAAAGAACCTGGGACTCAGTAGTGCCATTAAATGCCTAAGGAACAAACCCACGGACAGTGTTGTAGCAATGTTTATGGTGTTTTTTCAGGTACCTTTTGGCTTGTTACAAAGACCAGCTATGGAGAAGTGGAGCTTAATGACAATTACTGTTTTACTGGCACTTACTGTACGCTGGGCTGTGTCGCTTGGTTCTTACTCAGGTAATACACGTTCACGGTCTGTAAAACAACCCCACGAAAGTGAATTACAGAGCTTGTGGTAAATTAAAATAAACTTGCATGTAAAACCAGAAATAGGAAGCAGTGTGTTATTTCAAGTATTGTCGTATTTTAGTGCCTCTCCATTTCCCTAAGGTTTGTATAATATCTTGTTCTTATTGTTCTGGAATGTGCGATGATTAACTCACAGCTGCTTGGAACAAAATGCTGAAAAAACCCCTTTTTTTTTTGAGGGGGGGTGAGCGAGGAGGTGGGATAAATAAACGTTTTGTGGCAGAGTCGGGCAGTAGTAGGCTTGTAGAGCGGGTGTTGCTTCACAAATGAAATCCTTAATTTAGTACTTGCATTTTTGAGGAAGGAAAGGATGCTGCTGAGCTCTGTGCCGACGTCTCTTTTCAAACAACGAATTGTATTAAAGAGTCGCTGCATCAGGGACCGAGTTCTGTGCGTTTCCCTCTGGCGAGGAGTGGGTGGTTTGTATCGGTGCTATTTATCTGAATCTTCATGGTAGGCAGCATGCTAGGATAGTGGTTTTCCAGAGCTTTGATTTGCACCTGATGTTTATAGGTAGCATCTGGCTTCAGAGACCCTCTAGTGTTGCTCTTCTGGAGGCAGAAGGTAAAAATTTGAGACTGACCAAATCAGCTTTATTATCTCCTGGAAAGCTGTATTTGTTTAACCTTGTTACCTATGGGATAACAAAAATTAGACATCTGTGCTTTAGAATCTAATAAAAGCATGGCTTTTGTTTCAGGAGGTATGGAATAATTATTAAAGAAGAAAAAGAAGTAGGAAGGAATATTTAAAGAACTACCTTTGAGAGGAGTTGAAGAAGAAACTCGGTACCCCAGAAAAATGGCAGTTACTCCAAACATAGGGAATGGCAGAAATTAATGAGGAACAGATGGAGTCTGTAGGTGAGACTGGCATTATGTAGGAATTAAGAAGGTATAATTAATAATTGTTCTAAATGGAGATAGAAAGGAAGGGCAGGGGTGAGTATTTTATAGAAGGGAAAGGCCAGGCTTGTGACACTTGATTTTGGAAGGTTTGTAGGACTCTGGCCTTATTGGAGGTGAGTTTAGGAAGCACAAGAGTTCACTTAGGGTTAAACGATCTACAGAGCCGACCTCAGTGTCTTTTATTTAGCTAAATGTGCCTATCCTGTGGTTTAGGCACAGGTGTGGCATTGAAAGCGTGCAAATATCAGTGTTCACGTTTCTACCTATAGATGGTGATCTACTGCTGTCACAGATTTATATTGTTAAAAGCAACTTTTTCTTTTCCCTTGGTTGTGTGGTGGTGTTGGGTCATACCTTTCTGTAAATAGTAAATAAATATGGATTTAGTTTGAGCT